TAGGTTATCACAGAGGCTTTTTATTATTTTTATTTTAGAGCGAGTTATGATTATATTTTCAGAAAAATTAACTCTACAAAATGGCTATTTAATTTTTTTGGAAATAATTAAATAAGAAAATATATTTTTCAACTTTTTTAGCACAACATTAAAATAAATTAAAATATAAAATAATTGTAGTTCTAATCCCTGTGAGTCTTATTTAACCAGAAATTTGATATCTCCATTATTTCGAGAGGTATCGCAACAGGTAAATGCTCACGAGACACCCTGTATAGCATACAGACACTCATGTAATTTAACTTAAGGTACAAAGATGTTAAGAGACTATCWGTATATTATCTGCTATTCCTCAAATTTGAAACATTTCTTCATTTTGAAGAAAAAAACTATTTCAACTTTTTGACTATTGTTGTCGACATAAATGCAGTTTAGCTCATACGTGATTTTTTTTTCAAAATGTGTTTCTTCAAACTTAATGTTACAATACTTTCAAAAAAGTAACTCAGTATTTATTTAGAAGTCATGGTCATAAAACTTAAAACACTCAATTTTTAGAAAAAATTGTATTTTTAAAGTTTAAGTTGCCAAAAATATTTAATTTTTGAAAATTTTGAAACTTAAACGCTCGACATTTTGGTGAAATCAAGATTTCCTATAGTACTTACATTTTATATTACTGTTAATAGCCACTTAAAACTTATTTCATATGTTCGCATTTTAAAGAACCTACCTAGAAGTTGACTAATTTAGAGTTAATTGATTTCACAAGTCCCTAGCCCTCCCATGGGGATTTGTGTTACTTTAATATGCAAATGTTTTGAATAGTTTAATAAATAAGTTGTATGTGGTTTATTAACAATAATATAAAAATTGAATACTATAAGTAAATTCTGATTCACCAATTGAGTATATAAATATAAATATTAAAAATATATATTTTTTTTTTTGAAAGTTTCATCAAATTACAAAAATACATTTTTTAAAAAGAAAAAAAATTGCTTGTGAGCTCAACTGCATGCRTTCTAATATCTAATGTACAAAACAGTACCAAACACCACTAACATCTTGCTGTTAATTATTCACCTTCTTCTCACTTATAGTATGAAGAGAACCGTTCTGGAGTACAGTATAACACTATTGTTGTGATTGTACTTCGTTATTGATGAGGCAATAGTAATGTATATGTTCGACGAGCAAAGAAGATATCAGTCTATATCACTAAGAATATTTTATGATACATGTATTTAGTTGGTATTAAAGTAATTTATTTTTCTGTTAGTATCTAATATGGCAGATTTTTTAATTTTAAACCTAAAACATAGAATTTAAAAATTTCTGTAAATTATCATTGTATGTACCCCTTAAAATAATATTTTTAAGTGAAAGTTTCAAGTATGTAAGAATAATATTTAAAATAACAACACTATAACTAAACCAATTATTCTATCGTTACATGATACCAAAGTTTGATCAAATTTAAATTCAAATGTCTCTAAAAAAAATTGTGCTTATATAATGTTTAGATTTTTGATAACATTTTGAACTAAAAATTATGAGGAACCTTGAATCACATTTTTTTTCAATCCTCACCTATAAAAATAATGCAAATACATCTTCAGATAAATCTTTTATAATAATTTATGGAGAACCATGTATTCAATTTTCAAGCTTTTGACCAAGTAAAACAAATTACATGATATTATAGTAAAGGACATTTTATAGGAAATTATAACATGAACATTTGGTAGAAATGTCAGTTTCTATTGTTTTTGTGAAATACTGATTTTGCGTAAAACTTTCAATTTTCATTTTT